GGGGGCCCGCGGCGCTGCCCGCGCCCTCGTCTCGTGTTTTGCTAAATTCCCGCTTAAATGTGTCGTCCGTAGCCGAAGTAATTCACGGTGTTTTGGAAACGCATGACGGCTGAGGAAACTTAGTTAGATTTCATTAATTTTAGTTTTCAAAACTGAGCTGCTGTGCCTAAGCTGATCCTCATAACACTATTAGGAACTATTAGTCCCGCCGTGACTTGATCTCACTGAAGATGAAAATGACTTGTAGTATTCAGGAGAATTTAGGAGGATTACAAAAATCTGTAAAAATAGATTTTTATTCTATTTGTTCTCAGTTTTTTACCTGTTTTTTTTTTTTTAATGTGCTATCTGCACTGAATCTACTTTTTGAAAATGAATGGGAACATACACCTCTGGAAACACTTGCTCCCTCTAGATACGTCTTTATTCTTTTCCAGACCACAGCACAGGGTAAGGTACAATTTTGAACAACCTCCTGGAGCACATTGGGTCAGTTTTCCTGGTGGCTGTCACCAGTCCTGTGAGGACAGCAGGATATTTTTCACTATGGTGAGCCGAGTTAGATGTGTTGCAGCATTGCCTTGGCCGCTTGGAAATGCTGCAAATGTCGGTGGGATTTTTGGCTGCCCAGGAATGCGGTGCCTTCAAGTCACAAGTCGCTGCTCACCCATGAAGTCCTCCGGGATGTTGTTCTCTGACCAGTGTAAGATAAACTGTGAGGGATTAGGGAGAAATCAGATCGCTCCCTTCTTCTTCTGGCTTTCTCTTTATAGCAGCTCCTCTCTGACTCCTCTGGCTGAAGCAATCTAGTTTTGAGACTTGTTTTTCTTCTGCTTGTGTAAGCAGAAGGAAAGCTGTGGCTTTCATGGCAGGCTAGACTGAGCCACCCTGTGGCAATACTGTGCATATAGGTATCAAATCATCTCTGCAGGAGAACCAGCTTATAACGTGTAAGAAAGTATTTGCTGGACGGCCCTGGAATTTCTTTTTCTGCACACACGGACACACCA